GTGTGTGCGTGTGCACGCGCGTGTGTCCCTGTGTACCCTGGCTAGGACCTTGGGCACTGGACTCAGGGAAAGTCACTCACCAGCATTGCACATGGATGACACATTCTTCACAAACGTGAGTCCTTGGTGATCCACACGGCAGGTGAACACGCTTTGCCTGAGCCACTCGAGCTCGGTGATGGTCAGCTGGCTGGTGATGCTGAAGGTGCGGGGCTTGGACTCGGCGCTGGCCTCTGCCCTCACCTCTTCAGTGGTGAAGCCGGACGTCACAGGCCGTCCATCTCGTAGCCAGGACACTGTGATCTGCTTGGGGCTGAAGCCTGTGGCCTGGCAGATAAGACTGGACTTGCGTGGGCCGGGGCCAGAGAAGGCGTCTCGCGGTGGGATGAACACGGTCACATTGGGGGGCTGGTTTCCAACCTCTGCAGCGGAGGGGGAGGCATTAGTGGGGTCTGGTCCAAGCCCCGCCCACTGCACCCGGACCAGCTTCTGCGCTGGGTCGGCTCTCACCTGGAAGAGGCACCCGCAGGTCTTCGTTTTGCTGACCATGCTTGACTTTGCACACCAGGTAGTCGTCTGTGCCTTCCAGGACATCCCTGGAGGGCAGCAGCACCTGCGAGGTGGCCACGTACTTGGCCCCCGCCTGCAGTGTTGGGAATGTGGTGACGCCCTGTGTCACGGCGGTGTTGTTCTTGTAATTCCAGGAGAAGGAGATGGAGCTGGGCAGGAAGTCCCGTGCCAGGCAGCCCACGGCCACCAGGCTCTCATCGGACAGGGGGCTCTCGCAGGATACGAGGGGGAAGACTCGTGGGGGGGATGGGCTTGCTGGGGACCCGGAGGGACAGAAAGAAAGGAGGGTGAGAAGTGCGTCCCCCGCTGTGGCCAGGGCCTGGCTCTGCCCTCCCCCGTCCCCTGCAGTGCTCTAAGAGCTGCAGGCCGCTGCTAGGAGGCATGGTGCTTTTGGCACCAGGCTGGGGGGAGCGAGGGGCTCTCCACAGCCCCTACTCCTACCCTGGCAGGTTGGAGATGGGCGTGTGCTAGAACTGGGATCTGGCTGTCAACAGCCAACACCATGCAGTGCCGACCCCGTGCTCAGACCAGGCTGTGTCCCAACTCCCACCAGAATGGCTCAGGCCCGGGCTCAGGCTCAGGCCCGGGCTCAGGCTCAGGCCCGGGATCAGGCTCAGGCCCGGGCTCAGGCTCAGGCTCAGACCGAGGTCCAGGCTCAGGCTCAGGCTCAGGCTCAGGCTCAGGCCCAGACCCAGGCCCAGGCCCAGGCCCAGGCCCAGGCTCAGGCCCGGGCTCAGGCTCAGGCCCAGGCCCAGGCTCAGGCTCAGGCCCGGGCTCAGGCTCAGGCTCAGACAGAGGTCCAGGCTCAGGCTCAGGCTCAGGCTCAGACCGAGGTTCAGGCTCAGGCTCAGACCCAGGCTCAGGCCCAGGCTCAGGCTCAGGCCCAGG